TTAATTTTGTTGACACTTGAAAGTAGCATCCGGAGCTGCGGAGCGCCCCGCACGGCTGCGAGCGGAGAGCGGCGTCCCCCGGCACCCCCTCCCACCCCCAGCCGGCGGTTAATACGGCCATTGACTCGCTGTACTCATAATATTTCTTTAAAGAAGCTGTTAAAGTGTCATACTGGTCTACTGGAAGGTCAGTTCGCGCGGTTCGCTCTATGACATATCACAAGCCCTCGCAGCTTTAGCCAACCTCATGATTTGTGTTGTCTGTTGATATGTTGTCTGCTTAATGGGGCGATCATGCAAGCTACAACCAGGAACAAAGCCCAACAGTTCCAACAACCGTAGCTAAGTTAGTGGAAGCAGTGCAGCTTGCAAATCTATCAAACTAAACTGCAAGGGAGACAATCTGATTTAGAGAAAAGGCGTTCTGCTACAGTCATTAAGCACAAGTAATTTAGATTTTTTATATTGTCTTCTCATTTACAAATTTACTGTATCAACGCCAGCCAATGGAACGAATTTCTTAAGTAAATGAGAAATAAATAAAAGAGATAGAAAGATAATCAAATTACATAAAATAATTCTTTTCCACTAGATTTATTTTTTTAGAAAGCTATTAACACTAGCAAAATTATAGTAATAATAATAACATAACATAAGAAGTAATTGATTCAAATTAACGTCACGTTTTGAGGAATATCAGCAAAAAGAAAAGAATAAGGAAGGAAGGAAGAAAAAAAAAAAACCAAAAGAAACCAAAAACCCAACCAAAAAAAAATACCAAACAACAACAACAACGGCCTTCGTGAAACAGTGCTGTACTTCTTAGAGTAAAGGGCCCAAGGAAAGTCATGAATCCACCGTCTAAGAATTAGTTATGGTCATAAATGCCTTAAATTAAAACAGCAACCGAAATCTCCTCTGTTTTAAATCTCCTAATAGATGTTATCCTAACTGATTTAATTTAGGGACCCAGTCTATGCAGATTCATGGGCAGTGTTGGAGTGGAGTGCAGCACTTCTCGTGTAAAAATTCCCCACATTAATATTTATGCATCCTATGCAATCTATTTCTGTTATTTTTATGGTTGTTATTCTATGTCTGCAAAGGTCATTTAAATTATACTGCGGCCGAAAATTTGTTTCATAAATTTTGATATAAATACTAATTACACACTATAGTAATGCCAGCAGGGATCCTTTCATTTATCACATTTATATCACCTTCGCTGCTTTAGTGATGACATAATGGAAAGCAGTGAAAAACTGGGACAGTTTTATTCTAATATCCTAGAGCTAGTTGGAGTTGCAGCAGGTTGACTTAGCGAATAAGAATTCCTACCACAATTCGTGGGATTTAAGAATCTTTAATAAGGTATGAAATGTTACCAAACAGTTCTGTAAACTAAATTTTACATACCAATTCTTCTAGCAGTAAATACTGAATATCTTGTAACATGTATAACCGGACCTTTACATGCGGATAAATATGGAAATTAGGATTTATATACATTATGTTCTTGTATTTGCCAAAAGCAACGGACAGATATAGTTTATATCTTTTTTTTTTTTTAATATCACTTTACATAAACAAATGTAACAGTTTGACACGCAGATCCAGGCTTTCACTATACGAATTTCTTGACAGGACGTGTAACAACATTTTACTGCACTACTTAGACTGGACTTTGGGACGAAATGTTGCACTTTATACAAAAAAGCACATTAATACCAATAATATTCTGTTAGATCGACGTTTAGACTGTAATAATACAAAGTAATTCACATTTTGGTACACATTTACTAGAACATTCTTGCCATTCAGTACAAATAGTTTAATTTTTACCTCTTCCCTCTGCCCCCCCACCACCTCCGCCCCCCCTCCGCCG